TTCCATGCCTTTTTACACCTCCCTTTCTTCATGTGTTCAATACTTTTTCCCTGTGCCATTCTTGGGTTGTTACCAACATCTGGTGAAAATTTCATGTCATTAGCACCTCTAGTAATATATTTACTGAGAAAAATGGTGACGTGTTCAATACTTATTTTACCTACTGTATCTAAGCAACTTATAATTGGCTATCTAGACAATTACTCTTGGATTTACTGTTTAAATGAACCAAAATAAGATGTGCTGTCGATCACAGGCCATTGGATTCCAGATGAATGACTCAATCTGTCTTATATAGAAAGGCACCTGAAGTTCCTTTGAATTTTTGCCACATTAAGTTATATTTAATTAAAACACTCCCCAATGCAGATGTTTTTGTATCATTATGCTGTGTACCAGGGGAAGTCTATAGTATCAAACCAGACTCCCACTAATTCACTTAGTGCTCCAGTTAGCAGAGAGAAAGTGAATCATTGTGTGAGCTACAATAGCCCATTACCTGTGAGTTAAAGAGCTCCATCAGTCCACGCCGCCTCCTTCCCATCTTCCCCCGTGGTGAGGGGAGCGAGTTAGGCAGAGGATGCCAGACAGCAAGTAATGAGCAGGCCGCAAGCCCATTTGTGCTGCGAGAGAATAGGTCCCTAATGAACCACTGAAGACACTTAGGTCCACTGAGTCAGGACTGATATGTGCAACTGATGGCCAACAGGAAGATGAGCCAGCTCAACCAGAGAAAAAAAAAACAGTTTTTTTTTAAATTACAGTATTTAGAAATGTAAAAATTAAAGTTGTTTTGGGCTTTGTGTGTTGGCAAAAGCATGCCAATGTTTTCATATCACGCTTTTAAACTTTAAGAGCTATTTTTTCTTCTTCCACCCCAGGCCATAGCTACARCAACATTTGCATTAGCATTATGTGTCAGCTGCACACTAGGGAGAAAAAAAAAGCTGGTGTTAAAAAATATGCGTTTTTCGTCCCTGTGTTGACACGCTCAGTTTCCTTTTTTATTTACACTGTCATGAGATGCTATCAAACCAGCCCACAGGCTATTTGTTTCCTTTTTATGATGACACCAGTTCTTTTCAGAGCCTGCTTCCACCGAAGTAAAACTTTGGAGTGTGTGAGCTATGAATTCTCAGTTGCAACATCAACCAGTGCCACAACCACTTCTCCGAGTTATAAATATGAGAGGATGGTGTCCTCACTGCGCTCCCTGAGTCACGGCAGAAAAACTGCGCTTCCAGCGATTTTCCATCGGGGGCCTCGTTCAGGCCTCCCTGCAGCACCTCTTTGGAAAAGGTCAAAGCTGTTGTGTTTTGCGAGCTGAATTATAAAGAATGGAGATTTTTTAAAGACATCCCTGTGTCATTCAACACTTTGAGAAGACAAAACTCAAAGGAATTCCTGTGAAAAATGGCCCATCGCAGGACACGTGAAAATAAAAAATAAATAAATAAACCTCTCTGTAGACTTATGTGGATAGAGCTTAAACAGTGAAGTTTATGACTCCTCAACTACAGGCACATTATATCTGGGAGTAGCCTAATTTGAACTGATGTTTAGCCCAATGAAGCCTTTGAAGTGAGCAGACTACAAGGCTCTGCGGGGTAGAATGTCTAACAAGCAGAATTATTTCCCATTGCGGTGACTCAGATCTAATGGTAGACCACTTGCAGAGGCGACACCCACCCATTGCTTGGACGGCCAGCATTGCAGGCAGCAGGAGGGCCAGCATGGCGCTTCAAGGTTGATTCAAGCAGCAGATCTTCATACACAGCACTGTGGGGCAAAAAAACCACATCACATCTGAGAGGAATGAACATTATAAGTATACAAGGATAAAATCATGACAAGATGTGTTGACTAGAGGGTAATTAACTCGGTGGAGCATTTTATTTGTTACTTTGGAAACGTTTGAGGAACTGAGATGAGTCTATGTTGAACAGCAACACGTAGACATATTTGAAGGTTTCTCTGAAGGTGAAGTCTTTTCTTTGACTTGCTCAGGGTTCTCTTTCATCAGAAGCTGATATTGGCAATATTGGCCAAGAAATTAATCACAATTAATTGTATCATATAGCCGACAACGAATATGATTATGATTAATAGATGATAATTGCGCTCGCATATTTTGGACTCTAAATCAGTTATAAATCATCAGTCAAACTAACTTCTTAGCTGTGAACTGAAACCCAACTTTTCCACAATGTGGAGTGGCAGCACATCTTTAATCACACCATATGCCACAGACTCACAATGCGTACTTGATAGTGAGAGTGTGTCACACACAAAAATATGTCATCGTGTGGCACTAAATGCAGTAATTGCAAAATGGCAAATAATAATTATTGACAGTCTTTCTGATGATTAATTGTACACAATAGGATTTTTTCCCAAAACTATTTCTAACTTCAAATAAATCTGATGTTTATGAGATATTGGCTACACTGTCACTATTTGTCTAACTAAAAACTTAAATTTGTATTTTGGATGACAGTGAAGCCAGGATCATGAAGTCATCATGATTATTCTATCCAGTTAGTCTAACAACCCTTTACTGATGAATAGCATCACTTTGTATTAGGGCTGTGAAATTAATTGAGTTAACTCTGATTAATTTTAGTGCTGCATGGGCATAAATTAAAATTTTTAATCACGATTAAAATTTACAATCATTTTATGGACTTGGAGGAATCCATACCAGACACAGTTTGGCAAAAAAAATTCAAAATATATATTCATCCTCAATATGTGTGAAACATGTTATAGTTCAATTCAAGGTAGTACATCGTCTACACTGGTCTAAGGACAGATTGTGTAAATTCAAAAAGGACTTGGATTCGACGTGTGATCGTTGTAAACAATCTCCTGCCACACTTCTGCACACATTCTGGTCCTGTCCTAAGCTACATGGATACTGGCAAGACATCTTTGATACCTTTTCAGGACTATTTGGACGAACTGTTCATCYWTCACCATTCATCTCTCTCTTTGGGGTGGCTCCAGCAGAAGCTTCCCTCAGTGAACATCAGAGGACGGTGTTAGCTTTCTGCTCTCTACTGGCTAGAAGACTTATTCTTCTTCGATGGAAGGATCCACATCCTCCAGTATATGGTCATTGGTTAAGAGAAATTATGTCTTACATTCATTTAGAGAAGATTAGATATACTGTTAAGGGATCTGTAAACAAATATTTTGACATTTGGCAGCCATTTATATCTTATGTAGAAAAAATTTCRGCAGATAATTTTGTGTAAAGGTTAAATATTGTTTCATTATACACAAACCTGTTCATTGTATCACTTGTATGAATACAAGATCGATTTTTGTTGTTTCAGTGGATCCAATATAGGAGGGGAGGGATGGGAGGGATTTTGGGTGTGTGTGTTTTGTTTTGTGTTTTTGTGAGTCTGTTCTTTTTTGTGGTTTGTTAAAAAAAATTATAAAAAAAGACCTTGATCAAAACAAAATTACAATCACTTTACTGTGGCTGAATATGTAGGTTTGTTTATTGCAATGCACTCAGTGCATGCCAGGTCATGTTTGTAAATGAGAAGTGGTTCTCAAACAGTTTACCTGGATAAATAAAGGTTAAATAAATAAAACAAATAAAACCATTATGTACAGTTTTTTTTCTTTTTGTCTTCTTATGGCTTATTTTATTTTATTTATTTATGTTTTGCTGATAACTGTGACCTTAGTATCTATCTTTCATCCCTCATGTAGTACTCATTTGGAATGAAAATCCTTGAATTCTTGATTTAACCATTATTCTGCACAGAATTCAAATATGTTTGGAGCACTTTTTAGGTCCTGTTTTGTATTCAAAAAACATGTCTAAGCATCAATTTTGTTTTCTAAATAAAAACATTAAAAACTAAGTAATAACTCAAGTAATTTATTTTATCAATATACAATAGAAATGTATATTGAATTTAAGATTAATCACAATTAATTCACAGCTACTTCAGGATTAATCGAATTAAAAATATTAATCATTTGACAGCCCTACTTTGTATGCAAAAATAATTAAAATTACATGAAAACTTCTTCAGTTGAGATTTCAGAGACTTTATCACATTGACACTGAACAAAAGAACCTTTATAAATGTAAACTACATTTTCAAAATGTAGTCAAGGTCATGTGTAATTTAAGTGTAAAATTAAAAAGTCAGTGCTTGAATTCAAACACCCGAAATTCCTCAAAGCAACTAAGCAAGTAAAACTAAATGTACACACCACATGGCACAAGTTCAGCAGATCAGCTGCTGTGATTTGGAGCCATGAACTTTCAGCTCTGTGGCGCCACCTCATGGCCAAATCTGAACCTTTTTTTTTTTATCTGTCCTTTTATGGCTTCAGCAGAGAGGATGTGGGCAGGAGTTTGGATTCAACACAGCTCTGCTCACCACTAGTCTAAAAGACTTGTTTAAAGAGGGGGAAAAAAGTCAAGAAATCCCCTAAATATCTAACCTCTGCAGAAATAAAGACACATATATGTTATTCACTGACGGTGCAGGGATGGAAAAGCAGGAATAAATATTCAGTGAGAAAAAAAAAAAACAGATGGATACCTCAACTATTCTCTCCCTGGATATATTTTTGAGGATAGTGCGAGGTGAAATGTGCCAACAGTATAAAACCGCAGTCTGACTCAGGCTGCTGAGACACCAGGAAGCAGTCAGAGGGGTTTCCACTGAATGACTCAAAACGTTTACAGACCCTGTGTCAGCATGCAAGGTTTTTTTTTATCCCTCAGTTCAGTGTCAGAGATTAAAACAACCTGACCAACTACAAATAAAAAGAAGCCGTGAAGTTAAAACAATGTGTTAGGTAGGTAGGCCCTATTTACATTTCAGAATTATCCCTGCCATTTAAAAGCCCTTTATTATAAAGAAAAGGTCCCTGAAAGAGAATGTGATGGTCTGGATTTATTTTAGAGAATAGCTGTCAGTGTATATGAGTCATTTTGTTTCATCATGACATAGACCGCAAAAGAATAGACAAAAGACTTTTGATGTTGCACTTTGTTAAATTTAAAAATAGCTCTATGTTTAACTCCTTTGTTGTTCAGAGAAATCTCAGAAATTGTGCCTTTCCAACAGGTTTTTTTTTCCCACCACCTATAATAAAGTTTAATTTAAGAGCTCAAATATCTCATTAGCATTGGGTTTTGTTCTTCACAACCACCGGCCCATTGAGGATAGGAGCATCTCCAACCCACCCAGAGAGCCCCTTACATTCACACAGCAGCAGTAACCAAACTTTAATGACTCCTTTTTAAGAATGACTGGGTTCATTTTAGTCAGGTCATTTAATATATTGCTTAATTAAATCATACATTAGCTCACCAAACTGAGAGGATGAGCTCCGTAAACTTCCAAGGAAGTTTTATGCCTGAGGAGCAGCATAAAAGTTTTACTTTTATTAAAAACCTCTGAAAGTTTAGTTAGCAGTTTTATTAACCTAATCATCAGCGTAGCTCTCCAATGAGCTAAATGTAGCATATTGAATGATTCACTTCGCAGTGTAATTAACCCAGGTGTTWCTAATTAGCTTCATTAAAGCCCTGTACCGTTAAGACAGTGGGCAGCCACGGCTTCTACCTTCTGTCAGTATTAGCTGAGTGTGAMATTTAGCGTTTTTCAATTGAGCTGCTTATGATGCAGAAAAAGCACAACTTTTATAATGAAGCAGCTTCAGAGCAAATGTTTGAGTGAAATGAGGGCGCAGTTTGCTTCAGTCATAACGTTAGCTTAGCTCCATCTCATGAAATGTGCACGGTGAAGGTTAACGGGGCCTGAGTTTTTATTCAAAGTGAGGAAACTAAACTAAAATGTGTCTCTAGAGCCAGAGAACTGACTTATAAGGAGAATTTAGCACTTTTTTGAGTTTTCACTCCTCCGCAGCTGTTGCTGTTTTCTCAGATAACCGATAGTTTTCCGTCGTCTTCATAAACGAGTTTATTCTTGCAGCTTTTTTTTTTCTTATTTCAACATTAAATGAAAGTTAAAACTCACCGATAAAACGGCTGTGGTGACTCTTCTGTTGTGTCCAGACGGTGTTGTTTATTTTCTACAGCGGATCATTCCTGTCGCAATAAAAGTCTCAGTGAAAACCCGCACACTTTGATTGTAACTGATGCTAAACCTAGAAGGAACACTCTTGATCTGTTTTGGTTTTTTTCGTTGATTCTGGGTCGCTTCTCCTCAAAGAAACCACTCCTTGTTGCTTTGTCCAGTTCTGATGTCATACGGAGCCGAACTCAGGACCGACCCCCACACTGCTTAACTGTTTAGTGGACACAGAGTGGGGGGCTTCTAAACCACTCAAACAAACGAGCTGCAAACATTTATTCAAAATGGATTATTATTAGTAATAATAACAACAAGAAGAATCTGTAAATCTGAGAATAAATCTGAGAATAAAGTCGTAATGTTACGAGATTAAAGTCGTCATATGAAAAAAGATAGAAAAATGTTGAAATCCTCAAGAAGTCAGCGGTAACTGAAAAATCCGTCGCGAAAACAAAGCACTTAAACGCAACGTAGACCATGTGACCAAAAGCAGGAAGTGAGTTGACAGTCAACAATAAAAGGTGAGCGTGCGTTCTTTTTTGCTATTCGTCCTCCGCTATATTGACTTTAATCTATAATATTAGTTTTATATGCTACTTAGGAATAATTAAAGAATCCTAATCATTTACAGCACGTGAAATATTCTGATGTCTTTAGCAAATGTGACGCATCGTCGTATCGTATAACGTCTGGTTCTTGGTGCACTGATATATTACGTTGTTAGCAGCTACCGTCCAACATGGACCCAAATCTAGCCTATAACTTTTAACGAGTCTGATTAAAACTGATCTTTCTCTGTCACACAGTCGGGATGACCTCCTCAGACTGGCACCTTTCTCTGAAGCTGGTGGATCAGCCCAAGTCCACCTTCCACTTCCCAGAGATGATGCCAGGAGATGTCCCCCCTGGAGGATACAGAGTGGCCACACTGAAGCAGCTTGTAGCAGCTCAGCTCCCAGATTCTGTCCCAGATCCTGAACTAATAGGTGTGTCAACAATAGAAAATAAACCGTGAAGGAGATGTTTTGTGTTTGTGTGTGTAGCTCTGGTATGAATGAATGAATGATCACATTGTATTTTATCACAGTAAAGAATGTACACGCATRTTATCCCTTAAAAGTGTCCTGTGTTTTCATCAGAGTTGGTTCACTGTGGTCGGAAACTAAAGGATGATTTGACGYTGGACGCCTGCGGGGTTCAGCCAGGATCCACTTTACATATTCTTAAAAAGACATGGCCAGAGCCAGAGAACAGTCCAGGTCTGTGGGAGTTCTTGMATTTCACTTAAATACAGAAAAATGATTCAGCTGTGTGTTACAAGCCTAATTCTGAGAGCGTGTTTGTGTGTTTTCCTGTTTAGAGCCTGTAAACAGAGCAACTGCAGCGAGGGAGTTCAGGGTTTTTCATGCTGCTCTTCATTCTCTCAACTCTGCCTACAGAGACTCGGTGAGTGAACTGAACCCATACTTTTTGTGTTTATCGCAGTATTATTTTTTATCACAAGCCAACCAGTGTTCCTGATCAGTTCGTTTGTATCTGCTCTGTACTCTGAGTTTCATGTTGGCAATGATCTGCAGGTACTGCACACACATTTGGAGTTTACTTGTGTGCATTTTAAGAGCCAAAGAAAAGTCACTGCAAGACAAATGAACGTATGTCCAGGAGAAGATTCTTTGTACTCCTAAGCTCCTCCTCCAGATAGTGAACACATGAAGTGTGTAACAAACAGCTACGCTTGGGTTCATCTGCATTTAATCAAGACGCGTGATTAAAAATACCTGGTATCCTTTACTGTCTATTTCTGGCACAAGTGTATTTTGCACATGGTGAGCAGCAGCTGTTTGTTCTTGGCTTCAGATGCGGTGGAGGAGAGTTTATGTCCTGTTGCTTTAGCGGCAGATCAGACACAAGAGCAGCTGCTCTCATCTTAAGCCTCAGGTTGGTGAGAGAGAATAGATGAATACAAACGTAAACAACTGAGCAAGACCAGATCAGATGAGACAAAAGGAAGTGAAGAAGGTCAGCATACATGTGGGATTAATGTTGAAACTTCATTCAACCGTAAAAACTGAGAGATTTCTTTTTTTTTACAGAGTTGGCATATTTAAATCCAGCAGCACAGCTGCTAAATTAGGAACAGTGATATTAATGTCAAGTCTGAGTCTGCAGCTTACTGGGTTTGTTTATAGCATTAATTAGAGTAGACTCCTTCATCAAACTTTGTTATTGTGAAGTTTTGTCTGATTTTGTGTTTTCAGAATTGCTCAGGAGTAAATAAAGTTTTGTTAGGCCATGTAATTCTGCCCAGGCTTTCAGTCCCGGTCTCATGGAAATACTCTGGAATATCAGCGAGGACTTGGAAATTTCAGACTTTGTTAGGTTTCTGATGTCAGCAAACAGTTTTACTAATAAAATTACCTTTCTTTGTACTAAAAAAAATAACATGCAGACCACTCAGATATTGATTTTTTTCTGTATAGATTCTGTTCTGCAGTTTTTGTTTGTTTTTACTAATTCTAAACRGTTTTAAGTCTTGTCTCTCGTTCAAAATAAGATAATTTTACTCATTTTTTTAAATAATTGGGCTTACCTTTACAGTACAATTATTGAATGTCCAACATCTGGGGGAAAAGTCATATTTCAGCCATAAACATCTACATTTGCAGCTAACAGATTTAATAACACAGTATCTCAAACCCAATAACTTTCAGTAGGGGTGTAAGAAAATATCGATACACTGAAATATCGCGATATTTCATTTCCCACTACTGTATCAATATTCTAAAGCCCTGTATCGATGTTTTTATTATGGTTTAAAATATCGACTTTCCTGCCAGCCGTTCATTTTTATGTTGTAGTTCAGCCTCTGACCACTAGTTGGCAGCAGTGAGCCAGACATTTGGCTCCTCTAGAGGCTAGTGTTGGTCTGCCAATGGAGTAAGAAAATTTTACTTGGTAAGATTCTTGAAATACGAAAAAATTGAGTCAAATTAAGTATTTCAAGAATCTTACTAAGTAAAATTTTCTTACTCCATTGGCAGACATTTTTGACTGAATTTGAGTCAAATTTTCAGGCTAACAAGACAAATAATCTCACACATTCTGAAAACAAGATTATTCTTCTTACACAATCAGTTCTTGTTTAGTAAATCAGTCTCCAAACAAGATCAAAAAGACTTTTTAGCTGGATATAAGATTTTAAAACTTGGTTTGGTGGACATTTTTTGCAGTGAAAGATTTTCAAGGATGCCCACAAAAAACATCATGCTGATTAAAAATAATTTACTTCTATTTTAATCATTAAATATCATGAGAATAATAGTTATTTTTAGGTTAATTATTGGTCCCCTTGTAAATGCACTTTTTAACATTATGACATAATGATTTATTGTAATTTATTTTGTGGACCCCCAAGCTCTAGCTTATGAACTCCTGGGAGACCTGGGACCCCAGTTTGAGARCCTCTGCTTTAAAGAATGCTGAGGAATGAGCAGAACTAAACAACAAAATTGCACATTAATGAAAGAGGCATTTATTTTTTTAAAAATATATCTTTGTTTCAGCAGTGCAGTGTAAGAAGATTATTCTCCTTGGCTTGGAGATGGTTTTTGGGTTTCTCTCCTCCTGTCACACCTGTGTTCACAGATGTTTCCTTCTTGTTTATCAACCTTGCTGCTTTTCAGAGCTGTGTGTGAACAGGAGCCCAGACAGCCAAGCTCATCTTTAATAGGAGCACGTTCAGCTTAGAAAGCTGGCTACATTTCCATCACAGAACCAGTGATTAAAAGAAATTGTTTTATTTAGTGAAATCTAACTCACCTGCTGCTCAYTAGCATTTCCTCTATTTTCTTCTAGGTTTATAAAATGCTGACGAACAAAGAGTCCCTGGATCAGATCATAGTAGCTACACCTGGGCTCAGGTCAGACCCAATAGCTTTAGGTAAGACGTCCTGCATTCCCCTTTATAGCACTCAGTGTCATTGCATGTGCAAGTTTAAACATTTCCATGTGAAAATGATCTATAGGAGTGCTTCAAGATAAAGACCTGTTTGTGCAGTTCACAGACCCCAACATGCTCGACGTGTGAGTACATTTTGTTTCTGTTGCTCTTATGATAAATCATATGCAAAAACGGTGAAAAAAAAAAGATATTTACTGTTGTTATCTGCCTAAAAAGATTAATCGGTTCCCACCCGGCTCTGGTCAATGCCATCATCTTGGTGCTGCACTCGGTGGCAGGCAGCATGCCCGCTCAGTCCAGTGCCAGCTCTTCTCGCAACGTGTCTGCCAGCTCCTACAGCGACATGCCAGGTAGGACCTAAAACAGGCAGAAATATATATAAATAACATCATTCAAAACTTTTTTATGGTTTTTGTTTTTTGGCAGGAGGCTTCATGTTTGAAGGCCTGTCAGACGACGAAGAAGAGTTTCAGTCTGTAAGTCTCAGCATCAAGCATCGTTCACTGAAAAGCTCCCTGTTTATCTGGTGCACCCAGTGTTGCCAACTCCTGAGCAAGAAAAGTCCCTATTGGCTGTCCTAAAAGTCGCTAGATGACGTCATCACTTAATTTGCATATTTGGATGTTTGCCAATAATTGTGATCTGAGCTATAGGAGAGATGATGAAGAGAAAAAACGTGAATAAAAACAATAAATATGTTTAGAACTGCAATTAAACTTAAAGAAATAAAATTAATTTTATGACTTCAATGTTCAATGCTTAGATCTACATAAATTGGATTTGTGGGAATCTTAAATTTAATATGCAGACAGTTCGATGTCACGAGACACAGGGAGGAAGAGGTGAAGTGACTGATCTGTGAGTCAAACACAGCTGGGTCCAGAGGTTTAGGTTAGAGAGAGAGTACCAGAGAAAAACATTACAATAAATATTACATCCYGCTTTGTAAACCACAGAGAAGCAGTGGCAGCTTTGCGCATGCGTGATTCATTTGCAGCAGTCTCTCCTCTCAGCTGACTTCAGCCGAGGCTGGGGGTAGGGTTGGGGGTGCTGCAGGCTTCAGTGAGTGGACAGCTTTAGGAATGGGGAGGGGCTCACCTCCTCGCTCGCTGCTTGCGGAGGAACAGAGGAGGAAATGAAAAAAGTGCTTGGAAAATGCTGTCGCCAAAGCTCCTATAAGTCTCTAAAAACACCGGGTCTAGATTTGTCGGACAAATCTAGTGACTTTTTGGGGAAAAATGTCGCTAGATCTAGTGACAAAGTGGCTAAGTTGGCAACACTGGGTGCACCTCGAACGTGTTTAACAGGGCAGCCCGGCGGGTCCTTCTAACCGAGGCGGGCTCTCGGCAGGAGTCCGGCCCGTGTCTCTGGGCCACAGCGGCGCAACAGGCCCTCGACCTATAACGCAAAGCGAGCTAGCAACGGCGCTGGCCCTCGCTAGCACACCCGACAGCAGTGCCGTTACTCCGACAACGTCGAGTCAGGTGAGGTAGATCTGAAACTGAAACCTGAAGAGTTCATTGAAGGAAATGCACTCAATCTAAGCATTCTCTTTTGCTGCAACGTTGAACCAATCACCGCTTTTCATTTTTGTGTTGTTTTCTTTGATGAAGGTGGACCCCTCCAGTGGCACAGCCCCCATGCCAGCTGGAACACCGGTCAGTAATGATCTCTTCAGCCAGGCTCTACAGCAAGCCCTGCAGGCCACCAACATGTCCGCTCTCCAGGTGAGCTAACCGACTGAAACCCACAGTGTGTGTTCAGTGCCCGGCGGGGATAGTCATATGCAGAACGGTAAGCAGGTGGTGTTTGGACAAAAAGATTATCCCCCCTTTTTATGACTTTTTGTGTTTGCCAGGGCCGTTGGCAGTCTCAGCTGCAGCAGCTCAGAGACATGGGGATCCAGGATGAAGAGCTGATGCTGAGGGCGCTGCAGGCCACAGATGGTGACATCCAGGCTGCCCTCGAGCTCATATTTGCTGGAGGCCCAGGTCTGTAGGACCAAAGCCCACCATGAAGGAGGGAGACGGAGAAACAAAAATAAATAAATAAATAAAACAGTGTGTCCAATCCGCTGCTTTCTTCTTCTACTGTAAAACATCCAACTAAAACTGTTTCAGCCGAGCGCCACAGCTCATAKTTTTATTACTGTCACAACATATAAWGACATTCATGTCTCCAACATCAGCTGCTTTGTTACAGACGTCCCAGTCGTTTGGTTTGGAATTGAGCAAAATCAGGTTTATGAATGGCTGTAGTAAAAGATAATCCCAAAACTTGATTATTGCAGGTTTCAATTGTAACCTTTAAATATACAGTTAGGTCCATTTATATTTGAACACTGACACAAATTTTGTCTTTTTACCTGTTTACTGAAACATGTTCAAGTTATAGTTATATAATGTACATGGACATAAAGTCCAGACATTCAGCTTTCATTTGAGGGTACCCACATTAAAATTGGATGAAGGGTTTAGGACTTCAGCTCCTTAACATGTGCCGCTCTGTTTTTAAAGGGATCCATGATTAGTTGTAACATTAGACTTCATCTGATTAAACATTTAACTGTAAAATAAAGACTGTAAAAATACTGTAGGATGTTTAATTTAGTCATTTTTAGACTAAAAGTTTAAAAATATATTACACGGACGGAGCCATTTTATTTACACGCAAAGCATTCTGGGTAAATGATGACGTGGATAGGTCCTCGGTGTGAGGCTGCTAGCGAGCTATATTCACCCTGAAGGTTAATCTTGGACAATATCTGATGATCGACTCTTTTAAATGAAACCAGAGAGGAGAAGGTAGAAATGACTCAGCCTGAAACTGAAAATATGGATGGAGCTCAAAATTAAAGCTTAAATTATCAGTTTTTTTAACTGTTTTTTTTTTCCTCCCCCTTCCTTCTAATCTCTTATCTACAGGATGAGTTAAAAATCACAGAACACACTTTCATTTAGAAACAAAAAAATGAAACAATGACATCTGAAAATCCCAGCAAGGGTGAGGGGGGCTATCTTTGAAAAAACTGAACCTTTTACCCAATTTGGCAGCTTTTGAGATGGCAGCCATGTTTTGAACATAGCGCCCCCTCCCCCCCTTACTTGTTGGGGTGTTCACATTTGTTTCTGAAATAAGGGTGTCCTGCGTCTTTTGACTCACCCTGTCTTTGATTGTGTCCAGGACTGGGCTGGACTTCTGAAYCCAAAACACCTCCAACATAAAAAGTCTGTTTTGTTTGACCTTTTTGTTAATGTTTTTTTATAAAACACGTAAGAACCAAAATTCAGGTTAACCCGTGTAGTTCCCAAATTTGTCCACTAGATGGCAATGTAGTTATTTAAAAAGAGAAATGACAATTTTTTTTACCCTCCACATGACACTTAAAGGATGTAGATTATGTATGTATGTATGTATGTATGTATGTATGTATGTATGTATGTATGTATGTATGTATGTATGTATGTATGTATGTCAGACTCTGCTATTGATCTGCCCTCTGATGAAAATTTGATAAGTGTTTTTTAATAGTAGTGCTGTGCGTTAATATTCTGAGGGCCCAATGATTAGACAGCCTGTGATGGAAAAAGAAGGAAGTCACACAGATTTCCTGACAGCTTTATTACCATCCAGTGAGATGTAGCTCTGCTCATCAGAACATTGTACCCATTAGTTCCAGTTTTTTTTTTGTTTTGTTTTTTTTAACAAACCCAGCCTTATTACAGACAGATACATTTGCTTAGTCTCCTTGTCTCCCATCAGGGCATTTTAGGGGAGGACATATTGCTGGTGCCCCCACTCCCCACCACCACCACCCTCCCATCTACAGTAATTGCCCTGCTTAGTTTTATTGCAGCATCTGTGAATGTGACAGCCCAATCAGCGGATTGGCCTTTCATGAACGCAGCACCCAAACAGCGCTTTGTGTCCGTCTGTCCTTGTTACCATTTTATAGTGAGCACCTGCGAGCAATTTCCACCTCCCAACTGCCTCCAAGGGGGTTTTAAAAAATAAAGCATTGCCACTGTGCTGATAGAAATTGGATCAGTGGTTTAGCAAGAACAGTGGTGAATAAAAGTGCCCACTGGCTTTCAAGCAAATTAAAGAAGAAGAAGAGACATTTACGGTTGTTGTTCACAGAGAGAAAGCYTTTGTAAAACTGAGGCAAATGTGGATTTCTGATCATTCCACTGCTGAGCTCGAGGAAAGCAGATGCACTGATAAAACACGCTACAATCAGCCTGTTGTGTGGCAGATTTGCTTTTGCTGCTGATTCCCCAGTCTGTAAACAATTTGCTGTGGCAAATCACATTGTGAAGTTGTAGAGATGCTTAAGTACTGTGCAAAAAAAAAAGTCCCAGTAAAGAGGCTTTTACACTCTTTTGTTTTCATCTGTGAAAGTACTTTGATTACATGTAATCTAATACATATGCAAAACACTGTGGTTTGTGCCACTCAACGTGTGCTACTGCTGATACGAAAAGCATTTATTGAGCACATTCCTTTAAATTTGGAACAATGGAGACGCTTTTTTGCAGGGAAGTAGGCTAAAACACAATTTATCAGAGCTGCAGAGGTGTTTGAGAAAAACCTTTTTTAACATTCACGTTTTACATATAGATGTGGCTAAAAAATAGCTAGATGTTGGAAACATAAAACAGTTGGTAAGAATTATATGTAGTTTGTCAAAAATTGCTTAACTTTAGTTTAGTAGATGATGAGACTGTTTTATAGCCTGTTTGATTCAAACAGTGGCTCAAAGTAAAATTAAAACTTTTTTTCTTTTCCAAAACATGACTTTCACTCATCTTAGACCCTTCTTTAAATTAAATTCATTTCAGTGTTGTATAAAGTACCTGAAAGTGATACTTGAGTAAAAGTACAAGTCTATTATCATAAAAATACTTTGGTAAAATTTAGTCTTCTCTAAAAATATTATTTGAGTAAAAGTCTTAAAGCATCTCATATTTTTTATACTTAAGGATCAAAAGTAAATTTCTGACACAAAATCTACTTAAGTATTAAAAGTAAGAGATAAGACATAAGATAAAACTTTATTGATCCCACAGTGGGGAAATTTGCACATTACTGCAGCTTAATACAGGAGAGGCTGAGAAGAATAATGAAAGATAAATAAAAGATAAAAAACAACTCCACAATACACACATGTGATATATAGTAATGTACCAGTGCACATATACACATACACATAAACACGTGCGTATTTAAATACATATATACACCGTAAATTTCAGTACAAAATGGATGTATATGAACGTGCATATTAGTGATGGCAGTGYRGGTGAATTGTCCAAGTGACTGATAACATCATGATGTGTTATACAGTCTAACTGCAGTTGGAATGAATGACCTACGGAAGCGCTCCATCCTGCAGCGACGATGTTTCATGCTACATTCGCACCAAACGCGTTGCGCGCCTCCAAAAATCTCAAAGCGCACGCATCCTGCTGCCGGTGTCCGCAGAGGACAGACACATTCAGACGAGGAGGAGCTCGGATTTCATTTCCGTTTTTGGCAAAATGGCGGATACCGAAATGACAGTAGGGAATATTCATCCTCGTAGATGGTACGATTTCGGCGTTGTTCTTGGGCCTTCAGGGTGAATAACATCTGCCTCTCGAACTCTGTCGGTTCTGATRACGAGTCCGTCTGGCCTGACCTTGGTCGTTCCCGGTGTGGCCCTAGAAAGAACAAAAGACAGTAGAACATTTACTGTATCAGTACAAGTTAGTCCACAAAATGATGTTGATGCAGTAATACTTAGAAAAATCTCTTCACAAAATCAACAACATAGTAACACGGTAACTTAACAGAATAGTATGTATGAAATAAGTCTGTATGAACACTGTAATTTCGATGGGTAATAATTGCTAAGTACAAGTTGTCCAGAATACTTCTATGTATAAACATGTATATGTGTACGTTTCTGTATATAAACAGAATATATATATATATACATATATATATATATATTAGGGGTGCAAGGAGACAGGAAATTCACGGTTCGGTTCAAAGACAAGCGACCTGAGAGCGTGATTCGCAACGCTGCAATCGCTATTGCGTCCCGTGTGTCGGGTTTCACCCTGGCTGCGGTGACAGCCGTTAATCGCTGTAGTTTGTCGCTCCCCGTGTGTCGAGCCCTAAACGCACTGCTCTGATGCCGCCAGACGCGCTGCTCGGATGCTAAATGCCCCTAGATGCGCGTCCACCATTGACTTTGCATGTAAACCAGATGCTCCTGATGCTCAAAACGTGTTTGGTGTGAATGTATCTTAAGTCTCTGACTGAAGGAGATGCTCAGCTCCCCCACGGTTTCATGCAGAGGGTGGTGGGGGTTGTCCATGATGGCTGTCAGCTTTGCTTACATCCTCCTCTCATCCACCACAACCACAGGCTCCAGAGGACATCCCAGCACAGAGCTTGACCTCCGTACCAATTTGTCCATCCTGTTCCTGTCCCTTTCGGTACATCCAGCCCCCCAGCAGACCACTMCATAGARKATGGCAGATGCTACCACCGTGTCGTAGAATGTTTTTAACAGAGTCCTGCAGACACCGAAGGACCTCACTCTCCTCAGTAGGTGGAGTCGGCTCTGGCCCTTCTTATACAGGACATCTGTGTTTGTAGTCCAGTCCASCTTGTTGTTGAGGTGAACACCCAGGTACTTGTAAGAGTCCACTGTCTCAAYRTCTTTTCCCTGGATGTTCACCGGTGCTGTGGGGGGTGACTTCCTCCTGAGGTCTATGACCATCTCCTTGGTCTTGCTGGCATTGATTTGGAGAGCGTTGGTCTCACACCAGCCAACAAAGTCACTGATGACCCCCCTGTATTCCTCATCATTCCCGTCTGATACGCATCCAGTGATGACCGTATCATCCGAGGACTTCTGAAGGTGGCAGTGGTCYGAGTTGTACYTGAAGTCTGACGTGTACAGACTGAACAGAAAGGGTGAGAGGACCRTGCCCTGTGTGCTCCCGTCCTGCAGACTACCACATCAGACACACAGTCGTGGAGCCTCACATACTGTGGTCTGTTGGTGAGGTAGTCGA